AAGTAAATTAAAACTATATATTATTACTTAAATAATAATTTATTTCATTTAAAATTTACAAAAATTTAAAATAAAACAAAAAATAATATTTAAAAATAATAATAATAAAATTTTGGGGTGTTATAACTCTCTCCCCCTTAAGGAAATTTGGTCCCCCAAATTTGTCTCTTACTCTTGATCGAACAAATGGGATACTAGGCTCTAAAGTCTGATTCTAGCTCCCAAGTAGCTTCCCTTGGCGTGTGGTTCTGCCACACGACCTTTACAAATGACATTTTCCGGTTGCGGAGTATTCTGCTCTTTCAGTCCGTGATACCAACTGGTACTTCTTCATAAGATAAGTCCTCTTGGAGTGGAAGCAGTTCATGAGCCAAGACATGAGAGGGGTCCGGGTTGTACTTACGTAACATGGATATATGGAACACATTGTGGACCTTAGAGAGCTCTAGAGGTAGTGCTAGTCTATAGGCAGCAGTACCAATCCTGTCCAAGACTTCAAATGGTCCAATAAATCGGGGGTTCAGTTTTTCCATCCTGTCGAACCTACTAATTCCCTTGAAAGGAGTGACCTTAAGGAAATCCCGGTCGCCTTTCTCAAATGCTAAATCTCTCCTCCAGGTGTCTGCATAACTCTTCTGCCTACTCTGAGCCGTCTGAATGTTCTTTCTGATTTTAACTATTTTAAACGTGGTCTCCTCTACCAACTCCGGGCCGAATAATTTTCTATCACCCACTTCTTCACAACAAATCGGCGATCTGCATGGGCGCCCATATAACGCCTCATATGGAGCCATACCAATGCTCGCTTGGCAGCTGTTGTTGTAGGCAAATTCTATCAGGTGTAGATGGTCGTCCCAATGCCCCCTAGAGTCAAGGACACAAGCTCGGAGCATATCCTCAAGTGTACAGATTTTTCTTTCTGATTGTCCATCAGTCTGAGGATGGAAGGCAGTACTGAGAAACAGCTTTATTCCCATGGCTTGCTGGAAACTACTCCAAAATCGAGAAGTGAACCTGAGGTCCCTGTCGGATACCACTGTCATTGGAACTCCATGCAACCTGACTATTTTTCGGATATACATTTTTGCCAATTTGTCCAAGGGATCGGTCATCCTGATGGCTAAGAAGTGGGAAGACTTGGTAAGCCGGTCAACAATTACCCAGATGGCGTCATATCCTGAACGTTCCTTGGGTAATCCCGTTACGAAGTCCATGGTGATATGTTCCCACTTCTACTCCGGGATCAGTAAAGGTTGAAGTAACCCACCTGGGCGCTGATACTCTGCCTTGACCTGCTCACATACCAAGTATTTAGATACAAAGTCAGTTATGTCCCTTTTCAT